CTTAAGGTACATCGCTTTGCTCGCCACGCAAACTGCTGAAAGCTACTACCTTTCTGCAGGCTTTAAGTACCTGCATGCTGGCGCTGCTGGGCTTGTTCATGCAGTTTGTATGGGCCTCCCAAATGCAGTGGAGAATGGGCCGATCCGTGCAAGGACTGGAAGCACACCCCGACGGCACTGGAGCCGGCTTTAAAGCCAGCTTACCGTCGCGGGGTCGATGTGAAGCAGCTTGCCGTTCAGCTTCACATGCTCAGTGGGGAGTACCGCTACAAATACCCCTTGATGATCTGTGCCTCGGCAGCTGGACTGCGCAGGAGTAGTTCCACTATGACTCGATTCCGAACATTAGTGTGAGTTTCGATGAACTGTCCCTAAGACTGGGTGCCTGGAGTGGGCCACCCCGTGCAGCAGCTGACGGAGCACATGATTCAAACGGCCAACAACTAAAGGCGAGAAGCATTTGGGGTTTAGGCTTCAATACGGGTTGGAGAAGACAGGGAACTCGAATGGACCGATTGAAGCCATCTGAGGATGCAGCTGGCGTCATCTGGCTAAGGGGTTAATAAAGCCGACATCAATTTACTCCCACGTTCGTCCCAGGCAGTGGGGCTACTAGCATGAATAAACTTGGGTGACTTGAGGACGCAGCTTGCTTCATCAAGGCCACTGATAATTTGCAGTCACACTTGTCCCATGCAGCGGGCAAACTGAACATCAGGCTCACCGGTGCAAAAAACCAGAAATGATTTGTTGAATTACTCTTACACCTGTCTCGTGCAGCGGAGTCAATGGAATAGTATGATCGGCCAGAGGATGCAGCTTGCATCATCTGGCTCACCGGTCAACAGAAAGAAAACCAAATGCACAGTCGAATTTCCCAAGAAAGAATGAGTGAATGCCGCCAGTGAGCGAAGCCCTGAGGGGCTCTCGCCTCTCGTTCAGCCGCCCACTCGTTCAGTAGCTTGGAGTCCTGTCGTCTTTCTCGTTCCGTTGGTCCAGTGATGTCCACTGGCACTGGCTCCACTCCAGTTCTTTAGCTGCTGCTTGATTGACACTGCACATAGAACCCCACATCAACCAACACCAACACCAACACACACACACCCACACCCACACCCACACCCACACTCGCACCCGCACCCGCACCCGCACCCGCACCCGCACCCGCGCCCGCACCCCCACGCGCACGCGCACACGCACGCGCACGCGCACGCGCACGCGCACGCACGCGCACGCGCACACGCGCGCACGCGCACGCGCACAACGCGCACGCACGCACGCGCGCACACACGCGCACACACACGCGCGCACACGCACACGCACACACGCACACGCACACACACACGCACACACACACAGACACACACACAGACACACACACAGACACACACAGACACACACAGACACACACAGACACAGACACACACACAGACACAGACACACACACACACACACACACACACACAGACACACACACACACAGACACACACAGAGACACACACAGAGACACACACAGAGACACACACACACACACAGACACACACACAGACACACACACAGACACACACACAGACATACACACACACACACACACAGACACAAACACACACACAGACACACACACAGACACACACACACAGACACACACACAGACACACACACACACACACACGTGCACATTTGCGCGCACAGGATGGGTATGAATTTTGGCTTCAGTTTTCGATTGGCGTCAAGTTTCAAGTTTCATTGCCGCCCGGAAAGCGGGCTGCTTCAGCCGGCGGCCGGCGCCGAGGATATATGATCCCGGTTCGGCCGGCCCCCCCCCTCCCCCCCAATGGTTCCTCCTCCCCTCCCTGTGGCGTGGTGTGGTTGTGGGTTGCTTCCCCCTCCCTGTGGTGTGGTGTGGTTGTGGGGTTGCTTCCCCCTCCCTGTGGTGGTGTGGTGTGGTGTGGCTGGTACCCACCGCTCTCCCCTGTGGGTTTGGGTCCTGCGTGGGTCTGCTTGGCGTGTGAGCCCTCGTGTGGAAAAAGTGTGGGTTTGGGTCCTGCGTGGGTCCGCTTGGCGTGTGAGCCCTCGTGTGGAAAAAGCGTGCACAGTCACACAGATTCGGCTTGGGGAGCGTGGGGGGGAGGGGGGGGGGTGGGTGAACCGAGAACCGGGATCATATATTCCAGAAAGCAGTTCAAGGCTTCGGAGACCCCGAGGCTTCTTAGAGGCCTTTAGGGGCGCTCAGAGCTTCAGTGGACCCAGAGACCCCAGAGTGAGCGTGTGTACTGTAAGGCAGTGTGTGAGTGACATAGCCTCTCTGTGCAGCGATTGAAGCGACTACAGGCCTGTTGCTTAGTTTCTGGAGTGTTTGGATAGCTTCAGGAGGGCTCAGCAGGGGCATGGTTGCAAAGAGGAGCAGCGCATTTTTGGCGCACACGACCATGCACGACATTCTGCGAAAAACTACGAAGCTTGTTTGGGTATGCCACTTATGCGCGATGGGTTGACAACCAGCACGAAGAAGGAATCTATTTGCCAACAGGTGCAACTTCTTGGCATGACCGTGAGGACAGGCTTACCTGCAAGCAGAGACCCGCGGAGTCGCAGCATCACCGCAGATCCTGTGCAGGCGTGAGTGTGTGCAGTGCTGTTGCAGTATTTAAGAACTATAAGAGGCTGAACATGAAACGCAAACGGGACTGCGGTAGGCAAAGTGTTAGCGGCCAAAGTGCCCTCGCCTCGTGCTGCTTTGCACTCCTTGTACTGCCCGGTGCTTTCGTTGGGATGTGGGAAGGGGAGTCTTAGGCTCCTCGGCAGCTTAAGATTAAGGGCTTCAGGGAATAGGGACGTAGGACATCTTGCTTCGGCTTCTATCACTGGCGCACGGCAGCTTGCTAGCTAGTGATAGTGGCTCTCTTCACGCGTGTGTTTGCCAGCGGGCCTTCCCCTTCAAGAGCTGTTATTTCCTTATATGGTGTATAAATTATCGGCACTTTGTGCTCATACAGAGGCCACCCAACCCCCCAACGAAAGTCCTCGCACCGGCACTTGTCAGTGAGACTCGAAAAGCATCTCCTGGGTGAATGGCACATCTTGGTCGCAGTAAATGCAGTACGCCAGAACACCCATGTGGCCGTCGCTGTGGTTTTCCAGAATTTCGGGAAGGATGCATCCTTTAAACTCCTTCTTTTGGAATCTGGTTTTAGATTCAAAAACCTTTCCTGATGGTGTTTCAAACTCCATCTATCGCAGGACCTTCCCAACAGGGGAGGGTTTGTCAGGCGGCTCTGCATAGAAGCGAGAACGGGCGCCAGGATGCTGACACGTCCTGAGAATCGTCTTTGTTGGGGTACTGAAAGAAAGTCGTGACAGGAGGTCCTGCAAAGAGCCCATGACAGAAGGCGCCAGAAGATGTACTGAGAGGTCTTCAGATGACGAGAGAAGAGGTCGTCAAAGGAGGACCTGGGAGAGGTTGTGAGGGATTCTTGGAGGGGTCCGCAGAAAGCTTTACGACAGAAGTCCTGAGAGGATGTCGCCAGATCAGGCCCGTAGAGGAGTACAGAAGAGGCTCTGAACGGAGGGCACGAGAGATGTTCTGAGAAGATTTCCTGCGAGGAAACGAATTCCTGCGAGGAGTCCATGTCTTGAGGTCCTGAGACGGAGGTCCTGGAAGCATGACGAGCGGTCTCTTGACGATGAGAGAGGGTTCTGAGAAGTGTCGCGAAGGAAGGCCGCGAGGAGTTTCGCGAGAGGTCTCGCCGTCGCATTCGGGTTTATGGGCCCCGCTCACATGACCTCCAATTTGCCTCAAGCCCTACAGCTGGACAACGCAGAGTCGCCTGTGGCTCGCCCACCCTCACAGGCATCGTTGCCACAGCGTGTGCCGAGAGCATCACCCTAGACCGGTTGCCTTTGAGAGAATACAAATCAATCACCACTCTATGCCTAGTCTTTGATGTCATGAGCAGAAATGTGTTAAACGAGGGGTGGTCTAGGAGGTGCTGCATTAGATACGGTCCGCTATGATTGGCATCCGTCTGACTGACAGCAGCCCGGTAAGAAGCCCGGCATTGCTTGAATCATCGAACTTGCCTCAACGCCTCCAGGAAAGATCTGCGGACCGTGGGATTCTAAAAAGCCGGGAGCACCTATATAAGCTTTACTTAAGCTTTAAACTGGCCATCTAATCCCAAGACTCCCTAGACAGGCATGAGCGTGCCGTCATGTTTCAAGCATTGAAAGCATACAGCCAGCTCGTACAGCATGTGTGCTGATTTCACTGCATGATTGCCTAGCCAATTTTTTGGGCTCTCAGAGTGAATCTCAGATTACCTCAGTCACCCTGGCAGCAAACATGATTGCCCATCTGTTCACTACCAGAATAGTCTGCAGGCTTTCCATTTCTCTCAAGCTGCAAATCTACGTGAATGTATCGAAGCCAAGCAAGCTGAAAGCAACATTTTGTTAAAGCACTTGTGCTAATAATGGACTTCGTTGAGCCGTTGAGGGCTCGCTTCCGTGTGCACTTTTGCCTCGAGTGTCGAGCCTTTGCTGCAACAAAGCTGGATTGCCAGTAATTGGCAGCAGGACACAGTCTACTTGAGCAACAATCAAGATGTCAGTTCATGGCTCGTTGACTCGTTGAGTTGGAATGAGCGGGGCTTCCGACGCTCAGGCTTGTCGCTTGACAAAAGATCCAGCTGCCGGTGTTGCGAGCGACCTGAAGGACAGCTCAGCATAGAAGTCTTGCCTGAAACTCCCGTCTCGAGTTCAGGCCTTGGTGCAGAAGCACACCTTCCTGAATCCGGCTACGGCCAAGTCTCGGCACCCGCTCCATTGCCGGGTGAGCCGCTGCGCACAGGCCGGCGGTCAGTCTGCGAATCACATGTTCTTCTGGAAGTGCAGGTTTTGCTGGAAGCGCAGGTGCGAAGACGTGCGAAGCTAAAGACTCAGATTAGTGTGCTGTGCCTCAGGCTTGCCTTGCACGGATAACCCGTGGTGGCTCGGCAGCATGAGTCGCGCACCTTACGAGCTCCCGGTGCAGAGCAGGCTTGTGTGTTTGATTGTAGTTGGTGAGTTGGTGTTGGTCGGTGAGGTCTTGATCTTGATCGGCATCGCATCGACACAGCCGCCGCTTCGACGTGGAGCGGTGTGGGACCCAACCCCTATAGAGTTCGACGCGCGAAGATGTAGGTTCCCAAACTGCGGCCGGTGGAAGCGAGGTCAGATCATTTGGATGACGGCGAGCTCGCACGCCTGGCAGCTTATCTTGGCTTCGATGTGGACCCGACTGAGTTGGATCATGATGACAATGGCACCGGCCCCAATTCCTAGATTGCGGTGTAGCGCGGTTGCTTGATCGAGTCCAACCCAGTCCCGGCAAGGCAGCATCAGCTTGGACGAGCTCCAAGACTTTGTTGGCCGCATGGGGGGCGAGCCTCGAACTGCATTGCAAAGCCTGCGACGAACATACATGAGGTGAGCGGCGACGTAGCAGGCTTCGCGGCGTAGCGGAACTTGATTGTGAAGACCTTTGACTGAAAGAGAGGGAGAGAGAGTGGAGCCAAGGTGCAGCGCCTGTTCGAACAGCGCCGGCAGCAGGTCCCGGCTCGGGGTGAGGCTGAGAATATACACCTTCTGCTTTTTTGTGCAGGTGGCCTGCGGAGGGATGCCACGGGCCTCGCCGGCGTGTTGGAGCGCGGGTGCAGAGTCACTTCCATGTCGCCTGGACAGCACGTGCACTTGCAAACGCCTGCAATGCTTGGGAGCTTGAGCCCTGCGTTTGCCGGTCTCAGGCGAGCACAAAGCCTCATCGCACAAAGTCTGAAGAGCCGGAAGAGGCGATAGTCATCGGGGTGCACTTGAAGGGAGAGGAAGACATCGCCTGCCCCTCTCAGCTGGAGGCAGCTGGAGTTCTTGAGGCACGGCCAAAACGACGAAATCTGACCATACTAAAGCACTGCACTAGACTATAGACCCTGCTCGTGCAAGTCCACTTGGAGGACTTCAGGAGCGGCCGCAAATGCGTTCCAGCGCACTTTTGGTGGTGAGCACGGTGGCAGCCCTTCGTGAGGCGCCGTGCTCTGAACAGAGGTGCTCTTGTCAGCGCCGGTGACTCAAAGTGCCGGGCCACTGCCTTCAGAGCCTGAGCTACGCTGTCGCCACGACTTGGGACACAGGGCGACCGGCTGCGGGGGAGTTTCTGCCAGCGTGGCGGGATTGGCCTTGGGCGGCATCCATCACTAAAATTAAAGCTCAGTGCGCTTGTGGCTTGTTTAGGCAGGCACGCTCCCTGGCATGCGTGATGCTTGTTCCATGCTCCTCTGTTTTCATTTTGAGATTCGTGTCTGTATCATTGCTGCTGCCGCCGGTAGCAGCAGCATCGGCATCGGCATCATCATCTTCTTCATCACCATCACCAACATCACCATGAAACATCATCACCATCATTCTCGACCTCATCATTGCCTTCTGCTCCTCGGAATCCTCAGCCTTACTGCGAGCCAGTGCGCAAATTCACTTGTAATATTGAGACAGAAGGTCAGCCGGGCCAAAGTTCAGTGCGATTGCCAACACCCTCGTCCAATGAGGTGCCCTCTGCTTGAAAGCGACCTCGCATGTGTCTTTCCTGCTCTTGCGGCACAGATGCCGAGCGCACGCACAAGGCGCGAATTGCATGATGTTGTTTGCGTGCACTTCATACGACCAGTGCCAGCTGCAGGTACAGCGTGGCATCGACCAAGCCCCTCCCTTGAGCTGAGACAATTACTGAGCCTCCTGATCTGCTTCTGAGACGGAGTCCATGCACCCAACTGATTGAGACCATGTTTTGCGATGCGCGGTCCGCCTGACCGAGCCTCCTGTCTATGCCAGTCTATGCGTTGGAGACAGAGACCTTGTCCTGACAGTGGATACGACAGAACGGACTTTTGAGCTTCGGACCTCCGGGATGCTGAGGAATCTCAGTTTCTTCGTTCTGCAACTGGCAGCCAACTGCCAGGCAAGTTCCTGTGAGTTGCACAGGAACATGCCCAGACTCCGCGACTCGAAGGAGGGTCACCCTCTTCAGTGATGGGCAGGGCTGCTACGTGCACCCATTTTCCGGGAGCCCTAGGGGTGGGGTTCGCTCTGAACAGCTGAAAGCTCCAGGTTCTACCCCGGACAGCGGAAGAGAAGCACCTAAAGAGGCAAACACGCTCTCAGTTCTCTGTTCGTCTGGCATCTTCACGTGACCTCCCAGCGGTACGGCTCAGCCTCTTGACACCTATGCGAAGAGTGCAAATCTGCGGCATTGGAGGCGCGATGTGAGTGCACTTGTTTTCAGCCTTCTGTACATCGGTACAGAACCGCCTTGGCACTGTGGCTCCAGCCTCCTTCGTGCGCTCTCCTGCAGCTCTAGCATCCCCTCCAAAATCCAAAAGATGTGCAAAACGCTGTCAGAGACGCAGCGTCGCTCCGGGGTCCAGCAGCAGCTGGAAATCTGGACGTGCCCTGGCGTACGTGAGCGATGCTTTGCAAGACCTTGATGCCGTGATGGTTCAGCTCGTCTCCGAGGCAACTCCCGCACACTCTCCAGCTCTTCCTAGTGCAGCAACTAGCACTGGAGCTCGCCGAGAAATTGGACATGGCAAGCGACGCCTCATCCAGGCAGTTTGCTTCAATTGTCTGCTTGCCTGGAGCTCTGCGATGTTCTGCTGCTCCGCCGACGAACGGAGTAAGGTGCAGCGAAATTTCATATCGCCCTGAGCATCCACAGCTTCCAGCATTGCCGCATGCTGCCTTGGTCTACACACACGTGGCCACGGAAACTGGTGAGCACTGCTCTCAGAGCTTACGCTGCGATTTGACTCTTCCCATGGCTCCCTGTCAGATGCCTCGCTTCGACTCAAGAGAGTGGCATTCTTGGCTGAGGTCACTAATTTGGCGCTCTGATGCCACCGGGTCAGGCTCATCGGAGGACGACTTGGAAGAGCTGCTGCCGAGTTGCACAGAGATTGTATTGCGCCTTTCGTCGCATCCGCCCGCTGCAGCTACCTGAGACTTGCCGTGAGGCACAGCGAAATTTCATATCGCCCTGAGCATCCACAGCTTCCAGCATGGCCGCATGCTGCCTTGGTCTACACACACGTGGCCACGGAAACTGGTGAGCACTGCTCTCAGAGCTTACGCTGCGATTTGACTCTTCCCATGGCTCCCTGTCAGATGCCTCGCTTCGACTCAAGAGAGTGGCATTCTTGGCTGAGGTCACTAATTTGGCGCTCTGATGCCACCGGGTCAGGCTCATCGGAGGACGACTTGGAAGAGCTGCTGCCGAGTTGCACAGAGATTGTATTGCGCCTTTCGTCGCATCCGCCCGCTGCAGCTACCTGAGACTTGCCGTGAGGCACAGCGAAATTTCCGATCGCCCTGAGCATCCGCAGCAGCCAGCTTTGCCGCATGCTGCCTTGGTGGGCACTGCCGCGGAGAACGATGAGCACTGCTCTCAGAGCTTCCGATGCGATTTGACCGACAGCTGCAGTGGCATTCTTGGCCTGAGGTCAAACATATGGGTCTCCTCTACTACCGGTTCGGGCTCATCGGAGGACGACTTGGAAGAGCAGCTGCTGCCGAGTTGCACACAGATTGTATTGCGCATATTGCGCCTTTCGTCGCATCCGCCCGCTGCAGCTACCTGAGACGTGCCGTGAGGTGCAGCGAAATTTCCGATCGCCCTGAGCATCCGCAGCAGCCAGAATTGCCGCATGCTGCCTTGGTGGGCACTGCCGCGGAGAACGATGAGCACTGCTGCGAGGATGCGGAGGACGATGTCGGGAGCGAGGAGGAGCAGGACGAGGAGGAGGACATCTGGGCGGAGTTCGTGGTGGAGGACTCGCCCGACATCTTCCTGCAGGGTGATGTCAATGTGGCCCCACTGGCGCCGCTCCCGGAAGCTGCGCGGCGTAAAGCTAAGGGTCCTGTTGCAGTGAAGCCATCTGAGGATGCAGCTGGCATCATCTGGCTCAGGGACATAGAACAGTAAAGCCGAAATCACTCTACGTACTGCCACGCTCGTCCATGGGTGACTTGAGGACGCAGCTTGCGTCATCAAGCTCCCTGGAACCGAGATAATTTGCAGTCAAGCTTGTCCCATGCAGCGGGGCCAGTTCAACATCAGGCTCAAATCTAAACATCGGTACGCGCCGGTAGCGGCCCAGGACCATCGCATACAGTGATGAGCAAATACAGGAACCAACTCCAAACATCGCCGAGCATCACACCTGGCTTGGTTTTGGCACATGAACCACCTGGTTGAAGCCACATGCGGGCTAGTTAGGGTTTAAAAAGGTTTTGAGGTATAGGGCTTGGGGCCAAGGGTGCACGAATCGATGCATGGCCAAGGTTGAGTGGATGGTGGCGGTGCCACACACGCCGCAATGCTTCGAGGACCCAGCCCCCAACCGTGCGGAGAAAGGTGCTACAAATTCCCTTGCCAGGCCGTGCGCATTTGCGTCGACCGAGCCATCCAAAGAGGAGATGGCTCAGGCGATATCCGGCACGAGCACCGTCACCTGTTGGAGGCAGGAGCAGGTTCTGTGTTTTGCATCGGGGGTGGCTCTTTTCGTGAGCTTGTTTGATCCCGTTTCTCCACAGCAAAACGACGAAAGACAGGGAAATCTATTTCGAACGGGTTCCATTGGAGTTGCTGCAGCGATTGAAGCCATCTGAGGATGCAGCTGGCATCATCTGGCTCAGGGTTATAGAACCGTAAAGCCGAAATCACTGAATAAACTTGGGTGACTTGAGACTTGAGGATGCAGCTTGCTTCATCAAGGTCAGGGCGCCCGAAATAAATTGCAGTCAAACTTGTCCGGGGTCAGCTGAACATCAGGCTCACCGGTGAGCAAAATGTGAAATGATGCACCATTACACTTGTCTCGTGCAGCGGAGCCAATGGAATAAAGTTGAGCGACCAGAGGACGCGGTTTGCATCATCTGGCTCACCATGGTAAAGGGGGGCGGGGGCATCGTACATGACAAGCGATCAAGAGGCAAATGCGCAAGTATTGGCGGGTAGCGGCCAGGCGGAGTGTACACATTACAGGAGCCAAATACATCTAAGCCTCCAGCCCTTTTCCGCCCTACGCAAAATCCCAAACCACTAAATCATGAAAGCGGTGGTTTCGCCAGACTGACGGCAGCACCGTGCTGGCCGCGATGCTTGGACAGAGGGTGCTTGGCGGCTTGGTCTTCCAACATTGCCCGAGCGGCCTTTATGTGGAGTTGCTCGGCTCCATGAACCGGAGTGGCGGAGGTCGGATTCCCAAGTTGTACGTGCATGGTGGGTCTTGGCGAGCAAAGTCGCTGCAGGAACTGTGCTGGTGGAGGGGGCTTTGGCGCAGGCCCGCCAAGCCGGGGCCAAGTATGTGGCCTTGTGCTTAGCTTCCTGCTTTAGCAGCAACAACCACACAAACAACGAACAAGCAAGCAAGCAATCAAGCAAACAACAACAGCAGCAAACAAACAAACAAGCAAACAAACAAACAAAGAAACAGACAAACAACCAACAACAACAACAACAACAACAACAACAACAACAACACCAGCAGCAGCAGCAGCAGCAACAACAACAACAAGGTACAACAACAACAACAACAACAACAGCAGCAACAACAACAACAACAGCAACAGCAACAGCAACAGCAACAGCAACAGCAACAGCAACAGCAACAGCAACCGCAACCGCAACCGCAACCGCAACCGCAACCGCAACCGCAACCGCAACCGCAACCGCAACCGCAACCGCAACAGCAACAGCAACAGCAACAGCAACAGCAACAGCAACAGCAACAGCAACAACAACAAATGCAGCGACAACAACAACAACACCAACAGCAGCAGCAGCAGCAGCAGTGGCAGCGCGCACGCGCACACACACACACAGACACCCAGACACACACACAGAGACACAGAGACACAGAGACACACACACACACACACACACATCCACACACATCCACACACATCCACACACATCCACACACATCCACACACATCCACACACATCCACACACATCCACACCCACACCCGCATCCACATCCAAGCACACACACACACACACACACACCCTCGCGCACACGCACACACATCCACACGCACACCCAGACGCACACGCACACCCACACGCTCAGACTTCCAACACATGTTGAGCATATACTTCGTCGACATGACCGACTAGTAACGCTGCGCTGAGAAAGAGCACCAAGCTAGAGGGCAATGACTTAAGCCAAAACGCGACCCCGAGCATTGCATACCAAAGCTGTTGACGGAAGACTGTCCTGCATGATGTACGCTGCTTGTACCCACCAGTTGCCGCGATGCGACCCAGGTGCGGTAATGATGTTGTTGGGTTTTGGGCCCTTTCTATGGGTGCTGAGCCTCATCAGTGTAGACATCCCCAACTTGCTCTAGAACCCGTCACGAGATCACTCGGCGACCACGCGCAATGCAACGGGTGGTCACACACCACCGCACAAGCACACCAACAGCCAACACACACACGCACACACGCACGCACAGACACAAACAAGCACGCACGCGCACATACAGACACGCACACACGCACACACGCACAGACGCACACACGCACACACGCACACACGCCCACACGCACACACGTCCACATGCGCACATGCGCACGCCCGCACACGCACACAAGTGCACACATGCACACATGCACACACGCACACGCACACACGAACAATGCACACTCGCAAAATTTACACGCACAGCTGTGCATGCAAAAACAAACACACACACACACACACCAACCACACACACCAACCACACACACACACACACACACACCAGTGGCGCTGGTGGTGCTGGTGGTGCTGGTGGTCTTGGCGTTGTTTGCCGTTGCATCTACTGTGGTTGACCCTCACTTTCTGGTTATTATGTTGCTTATTATTCTTCTTGGTGGTGGTGGTACAACGCTTCCGAGGCTACCATGCCCAAGGATGTGCCGGCCCAGCGTTTCTGGGCGCGGGCACAGTTTTTTCCTCTCCGCGGGTTGGCGGCGTTTCACCGCAATGCCACCCGTCGGGCGGCCTTGCTGCAAGACTTTGTAAAGCTTGCAGAAGGCCACCTGAAAGATTGCGAAGTGGACTTCGCCCTGACCTTCTTGGCTGGGGAAGCCACTTCGGAAACAGCGGTTTGGCTTCGGTGGATGTGATGACATCTAACTCAGCGTTGCACTTGCGAGGACCATGAGTCTACGGAAGTTAGTTGACAGATGTACATAGGTAGCATGCCGAAGCTGAACAGGTGCTGTCGATACCGTGTTTTGCTGGCTGGACGGCTTATTTACTATCTGTACTGTATAGGGTTTAGGGTCTCGGCCCCTTCCGGCGCATCAGAGAGATTCAAAATCAGAAGGGCTCACTAGGCAGCATCAGGTCGTTCATATTACACGACCGAGAGGATTGTTGTTACAAAGCTGTTTGTTGACATAAATGGACAGTGCCCCCAAGATAACTAAGGTGTGTCCAGGGCTGAGCATTGGGGGCGAAAGGAGCTCGACATCTCAATTCAGCCACGAAGGTTTCAGACAGGAGCTTGTTTCCAGCTTGCCCAGCCTGGCTTGGAGACGGTGTGCGCTGAACATTCTCGCCAGAAACTCCGGGTGAGGTCTTCATGGCTGGAAGCTGCGATTTCATGGACTGCCTCAGGGTTTACTACTGTTAAGGTTCAGATGGATGCACCTTTTTTACTCTGGGTGAGGGAATGCCGCCTCTCAAAGCTGCACCTTCATGTTGTTATGGGCTTGACTTGTATGCATGTCATCCTTGGTCGCAAATTTGCCTCAATCCTGCTTGACATGTATGGGTTCGCAACCCAGCCCGACAGATGTGCCCCAACGCTGTTGAACTTGTATGCGTGTAGCCCGAAGCGGCAGACTTACCGCAATCCTGCTTGATATGTATGGGCTTGCAACCCACTGCCGGCAGATTTAGCCCAATCCTGCTTGACTTCTATGCGTGTAAGCCCTAATCGCACTACCCCAATCCTGCTTGACGTGCACGGGCTTGCAAGCCACAATCGGCGAGATATGGCGAGATGTTCAGCAACCCTACTTGACTTCTATGCGTGTACAAGCCTTAATCGCACACTTACTGCATGACCATTACGGATTTTGAGTGGATTTTGCATCCTTCCAGCATGGGGAGAGGTGGGGGCTTGGCAGGGGCGATGGCGGCACCAGCACGTAACATTGAACCGACGAGGGTTTTAGGATACCATGAAGGATACTAAGAACGAGGAATGTTGCTCATCGGCCTCTCCGGCGAGGGGTGAGTGCTCGAGCCGTGCTCCGGCCGTGCTTGTACGGCATTCTTGCTTGCAGAAGTAGGGTCTGCAAAGACAGCCCTGCTAGAGTCACTAGAGTCTGCGTATCCCAGTACCGGCTCTTTTTGTCCTGGCGTCCTCATGCAGCTGGAGTGCATTAGCTCTCTGTCAATATTCGATATTATTCGATAAAGGTTCGTGTAGACATCGCCGGAAGCATCCCCTTCAATCCCAAACCCCCAGGATTTAGGAATTTTGGGCTCCAGCGTCACGCAACTGTCTGCATGGGATGATAGATGGGCATCAACAATGCGAATTCAGACTGCGCAAGCACAATGCTGCTTGGGGCCTCTCGACAATAATGAACTTTTCTCCGGCAAAAAGCAGCTCATCTCATATAACTGCAAGCCTCGTTGCTCGAGATTCCACAGTGCAATTGCAAGCTCCCAGAAGAAGCACAGACCCAGCACTCCCACACTCAACAGACTCAACCAGGCTTCGTGTCCGGAGTCTGTGGAATTGGCTTTGCAGGCTCCCAGCATGGCAGTCATGCGCAGCATCTCTTATATATGTAGAGTTCCACAGGTAGGCAGAGGTGTGGGTGTGGGTGTGTGTGTGTGTGTGTGTGTCTGCGCGTGCGTGCACGTGCGCCGTTTTGATCACACGCGTGAAGGCTATTGGAATGTTGGCAACGCCTACCACTGCTATTGTACAGCATCACGTGAACCTTACATGCCCTTTATAATCCCTTGTAGGCATTCCCTCCCCCAAAGGGGGCCCATAGAATATGCCGTGCTGCGGTTCCAGCGCCGTCCCTTGCCGGCAGGGTGCAGGACAGCCTAAGTTCATACGGAGGGGCAAGGATGGCAAGGACTCCTAGTGCAAACCTGGTCTTAGCGTTGTTGAATCTGAGGCAAATACAGGAAGTCCACGGGCAACTCGATTGCCGGCTTCTTCTGCGGCCTATGAAGCAGCTGAGAGGTTTGGATGCGTGGTGCCTAATTCTAGCACTTGCGCTGTATGCAGAACCTTCGATGCATTTCCTCACCAACCTGCCGTGGACTGACGATGCAAAACAGCCTCGAGCAAGACGAGCCCAGGTCCACAGTTCGTTGCCGGAGACCTCGGCGACGATGGGTTCCCGGTCACCGACGGCAGCTGGGAATGTAAGATCAGTGGTCGCAGCCACTTCTGAACATCGCGAATCTCTGCACCTTGCAGGTCATCAAGAGCGAGCGGGTCATGAAGAAGGGCAGGTGGCGAGAGATTGAAATCGAGTCTGCAATGCATCCTGGCCGTCAGTGGTCGATAGGACGACACAAGCTGACAGGCTGCGTTCTTGGAAGACGAAGGGCGCGCAGCCGTTCGCGCCTGAGATCGGCTTGAGACAGGTTCCGAGCTTGGCACAAAAGGGTTTCCGTTTCTCGAGGCCCTCGCTGCCGGCGAGGATCCTGATCAGCCCAAGTACAACGGCGTTGTGCTGATGGCCAGCCCTGCCTTTGCATCCGGTTTGGCATTGCGGCCCATGTGGGCTGGCTCGATCAGGCAGCGGTGAAAGAAGATGTGCGCGACATTGGCAAGAACATCGTGAGAATTGTCATGGGCTGCAACAACTTCAAGGCCTGTGCTGAGGCTGCTGAAACCAGATGAGACCTGGCTCTTGGTTGGCAGACCTAGGTGATCGACATGGGTGTAATGGTGCCCTGCGAAAACATCCTGGAGAAGGCCGTCGAGGACGCACATTGGACATGAGCCAGCGGAGATGCGATCGCCAAGTAGATCTCGCAGCGCAGGGCAGATGTGTGCACAGCAAAATCCCAGTTGAAAGTGGATGTCATTGGACTTTCCGGGCCTGCCTCTCGGTCTTGACGTCTGGTGATTCGAGAAGTCAGGCTTTGCGCTGAGGCTCATCACACCCTCCTTGGACGAGATGGATAATGTCGCTGTCCGTGCCTCAACTGCTCAGCTGCCCGGATTTGCGATTTGCTACACGCGTCGCTCTCCTCATGCGAATCTCAGGAGCAGATGAAGGCTCGTAGCATGAAGGCGACCCACTGCGTGTGTCTTGCTGAGAATGGGGGCGGGATGTGCTGCTTTTCCTCGGGTCGCGTGCCAGGTGCCGTCGATGACCGGTGGCACCACCACATCGAAGCGGCACACGGTGGGGCGCCCCTAATTAGAGTAGAAGATAACTTTGAATCCAGCACGATCAACGGCAACAAGGCGGTGAAGATCACCACCAAATACGACAATGGCGTGATTCACGTCGGTACCTCGGGTCACAGCCGGCAGCCCTCCACCAGTAGCGCGGCATGCACGTCGCACAGGTCCTGGATGCGAGCAGAAGCTGCACCGTCGTGAGCGCACTGATGCTGGCTTCTCATCTTCGCAGCCGTTCAGAGTGCAGGCAGCCTGAGAGGAACCACAGGTGGGTATGTCAGTGTCATAAACGGCAGGGGAAATGAATTGGAAAGGCAGACCGTGGATCGCAGACGTGAACCCTGTCGGCCGCGAACTGCAACTGATGCAACGAGCTACAGACCACACAGCAAATGGCTGTGCAACACCAACGACTTCCAGAGACCACTGACAGATAGCACAGCCTGTCGCACCAGGCTAAGGTGCACAGACTCGAGTCAAGGTCTGCCTTGCTGTTGAGTTCGCCAACTTACTGCTCTGGCTGACCAGGTCCGGGGACAAGCAAACGTATCGGGACGACATCAAGGAGGAGCAAAGTTGCAGCGGGGGCACTGCTGGGAGAGATCGTGGGTTGCGAGTCGTGGCAGCCCCAGGAATATGCGGATACCAGGGAGGAATACAGTGCGACTTTGATCGACAAGCAGTGGAAGTCGCTAAAGGAGGCCCTTTAGCAAGACTTGGCACTCGGACGAGAGCAAGCATGTTGTCCACGGTTTCAGGCGCAGTCCAAGAAGCCACAGCTGGACTGGGGCAAGCTGCGCCGAAGCCGTCATGCTGGCACTCTTGCCGCCGATAGCTTTCACATCGTATCATGGATACGGTCTGAGCGACCGAAGCCGGGTCTCGAGCCAGGAAGTTCGTCGGCAACTTGTGCATCAAGGTCTGCGGCAGCATGGAAAGCCCTTCGTGATAGTGGTTTAGTTGGACTCCTTTCTTCCAGGTCTCCCCCCTGGCCGAGCCGGCCTAGACAATAGTGTGATGGGGAGGTGTACCAACTTCGCGGCAAGTACCCCAACCGCGACTACCCTCATATCTTCAAGGCAGCACAGTACTCCGACATGATCGTTTTGCTGCCGTGCTGCCGCGGCGTAACCTTTGCGTTTCGGCTCGGGCGGAGGATGAGCGCGTGCGCCCTGAAGCGAAGAAGCTCTTTCAGGAGGCGAAGGACATGCTGGCACGAGCCTTTGCTTCGTCGCTCTTGCAGATGCCCTTTCAATCTGCATGCACTGCCGTGCTGAAGGCCTGGATCGTCAAAGAGGGCTTGCTGAAGTGCTCAGGCGCACTCACCCTCCCGGCCGACCGCAGCAGCTGGCTGTACGCCTTACGTCTGCAAGGCGTCGTGGGAATCCATCCGGCCAATGCCGTCGGTGATGACATCGAGGCTCGGGCACGGACGGCCCGGGCATGCCTGAGAGCAGGCTTGTATTGAGCTGACAAGAGTCCGAGTCTTGCAAGGTCTACACGAGCGAGGAGCGTAGCAGGGACTGCGACTTCCCTGAACCCCTTGGGCGGTCGGAAAAGAGGTGCGAAAAAAAGCAAACGACCATGGTGATGGTGATGATGACAATGGTCTTGATGAAAAGAACGGTGCTGTTCGTGACGATAACGATGACGCTGATAATGGCCATGATCATGATGACGCCGAGCGTGTTGATGACTGTTGATGATGATGACGGTGACCATGGTGATGATGAGGATGATGATGATGATGATGACTATGACGATGTTTGGGATCATTGGTAGTGATGGTGATGTTGATGAAAGATGTGGTGATGTTGAGGACGGTCGTGATGATGACGATGATCATGATGATGTTGCAGATCGTGTCGATGATGTTGATGATGTGGGTAGTGATGCACCGGGAATATGCAGGTGGTGATGATCATGATGGTCAAGGGCAGTAACCCGAGCCGAACTCTGCATTTAGACATTGTTAGACCATGTTAGGATACGCATTGGACACGCTCATATATACCAGCCATCGCCGAGTACTTCCCTAGCCGCAAGCTCTCGCTTGTGGATCCGAAATCCTTGCCCCACCAGCCCACCAGCCCAGCGAGCCTCCCGTGCCTTCCGGCTCTTATGTTGGGTTCGGTGTTGCTTTGATTCTTTGATATTTTGCAATGCTGTGTACCCCACCATGTGTTTCGGTGTATCGAGAACTGGCGCCCTTCCAGCAACGAAGTGTCTTGTGCCGGGCACGGCCTCCTTTGGTTCTCCAGGGCCTTCAGTGGTATGACTGCTCTTTCACTCGCGCTTCCGCTGCCGTGATGGCTTACATAAGCTTGAGCAGCCCCGCGCCTGCAGACTAGACCAGATCTCAGTCTTAGAAGTGGAGCAGTGAAGGCATGTTCGGAGAGAGTGCGGCTCTCTCGTCTTTCAGCTTGCGAGGCAGAAAAACCTCTTTGACCCCACAAACGTGCCTCGGCCGTGACGGTTGCAGGCGCTTCGCAATCGCGTCGCGTGTTCCTCGTGCTCCTGCGCGCCGGAGCACGATGGTGGAGAACCTCGAGCAGTCCTAGTTGATTACTATCCGGCCTTCATCGCCAGCATCAACCCAAAGAAGAAAAAGGCTCCTGTGAAGGTCGGTGGCTCAGGTGATCCGAGAGAGAGGAGGCTCCTCTCCCTCTGTCCATTCTCAGGTCCACTACAACGCCTACGGTGCGGAGGCCGATGCCTGGGTCTCCCTGGACATGATCAAGTCAAAGGCGCCAGCGCCTCCAAAACGCGTTGCTGACAGTGGCTTACACAAGTGTCTTGTCGGGGTTGTTCGGTGGCCTTGTTAAAATGGGCATCAAGAACAGTGTTCGGCCATTTGCGATGGTCGCAGCAAGCGCATAACTTTTCTGAGACTTTTCAAATCCCGTCCCAGGGGCCCAACCCTGGCCCAACCCCCCTCCTCCCTGCTTCGTGTTTGGGCCGCACAAGCTACTCGTAGGATATATGGTGATCGGCTTTCGCCGAATGAGGGAGTGTTTAAAACGTATATGGTGAAGCGAAATTGCCAAATAAAGGGGCGTGCTTCAGAGATATGTGATATATGGTGAACCGGAATCGCCACATGAGCCGGGTTGTTTAACATGTATCACGAACCGTTATCGCCAAATGAAGGGGGCGTGTTTAACATGTATGTTGAACCGTTATCGCCAATTGATGGTGGCGTGTTTAAGCCATAGACTGACCCTGAATTACCATAAATAAGGGGGCGTGCTTAACATGTATGATGAACCATTGATTATCGCCAGATGGATGGGCAAAAGAAGGGGCGTGTTTAGGATGTATGGTGAACGGTTATCGCCGAATGAGGGGGCGTGTTTAAGATATATGGTGAACCGGGTCGAATTACCAAATAAGGGGGCGTGTCTAAGATATGTGGCATAATATCTTTTGAAACGGAACCGCAAAATCAGGGCGCGTGCGTAAGATGTGATGAACCGCCGGTCCTCTTGCAATTGCGTTTGCAAATGGGGCGGGGGCGGGGGGTTGCGCCCCAAGCCCCCGCTTTGTTCAGCCATGTTGTGAACGTGCTTTAGCGAGCTTCGTACCATCAAGACCGCTTTCTGGCCATTTCCGATTGGTCGTAGCAAGTCAAGCGAGTAACTCATTAGAGACGTTTCACAGCCCCTCCTAGGAGCCCAACCCCCCTCCTCCCTGCTTTATGTTTGGGCCGCGCAAGCTAAGATGCATGGCGAACAGTTTTCGCCGAATGAGGGGGTGTAAAGGAGATATATGGTGAGCGGAAATTGCCAAATAAGGGGGGGGGGCCTCGGATGTATCTGATACATGTGGAATTGCCAAATGAGGGGGCTTGTTTAAGACGCGTCATGAACCGTTATCGCCAAATGTCGGGGCATGTTTAACATGTATGTTGAACCCTTGTGGCCAATTGCGAGGGGCGTGTCCAAGATATGCGATGACCCGGAATTACCAAATAAGGGGGCGTGCTTTAGATATGGTGAACCGGAACTACCAAATCAGGGGCGTTCTTCAGATATATGGTTCAAGATATACAATATGAACCGGAGTAACCAAATGAGGGGCGGTGCTTCACATATACGATGAGCCGTTATCGCCAGCTGAGGAGAGCGTGTTCAAGATATAGGATGACGCGAAACCACCAAGGGCTTAGAATGGCTTAGATATATGGGGTACCGGAATCGCCAAATGAGGGGGCGCGTTTGAGATAATATGATGAACCGGAATCGCCGAATCAGTGGGCGCGTTTAAGATATCTGGAGAACCGGAATCGCCAAACGTTTAAGATATATGATGAACCGGAATCGCTGAATCGGGGGTCGTGTTTAAGATATATATGTATACGATGAGCCGCAATGACCAAAAGAGGGGGCGCGTTTTAAGGTATATGGTGAAAGGTTATCGCCGAATGAATGGGGGCGCCTTCAGGATATATGATGAGCCAATACAGTATCACGAAAAGAGCGGGATTGTTTAAGATATATGGCGCTCTGGCTGCTACTTTTTCGCCTTTAGCTCAAGGGCCCTTCGAGTCGTAACGGCAACAGCAGAACATATACAACTGTACATCAGCTGATTACCTAGCTCAATGCACAACAAAAGGCACGCACTCAAGCTGCACATGTAAGTTTCGAGGTGATATTCACAAGATGTATGCTGACTTGGAATTACCAAATCGGTGTGTCCAAGATATGTGGTATAATCATATCTATGGTGTACCCCAATCGTCAAATGAGGGCGCGTGCTTAAGATGTGATGAATCG